AGCATAAGCTTATGCTCTAATAAATTTGTTAGTCTCTAAGGTGCCACAAGTACTCCTGTTCTTTTTATGGATACAAACTAACACGGCTGCTACTCTGAAACCTTTCATAACTGTTGTTCTTGAAGATATGTTGCTTATGTCCATTCAATTCTAGGTGTGTGAGCGCCCATGTGCACAGTCAGAGATTTTAGCTCTCATGCGTCAGTATATTAGGCACTTCTGGCCCTATGCCCTCTCAGTTCCTTCTTGCCAGCAACTCCGACAGAGGAGTAGGAAAGCAGGTAATGGAATGGACATGAGCCACACATCTTGAAGAACAACAGTTATGAAAGGTGGGTAACTGCTTTTTCTTCTTCGAGTGCTTGCTCATGTCGATTCCATTCTGGGTGACTCACAAGCAGTATTCCTGGAGGTGGGCTTGGAGTCCACGGGCATGGGGTTGTGCTGCTCTACCAAAACCAGCATCATCTCAGGCCTGCTGGGTGAGCGCATAATGAGACGTAAACATGTGGATGGACAATCAGGTGGCGGCCCTGGAGATATCTTGGACCAGCACTGTAGGGTGTAGCCCAAAGAGATTATGTCGAGAACCCAATGGTCTGAGTTAGCTGTGACCAGGCCGACCGGAAGGGGTACAGGCAGTTGAGGAAAGAATAGGAAGGTGGATCCTGGGATGTGACTGGGGCACCATCCTCAAGGCAATCTCAAAATGCTTGTCTCTGGCTTCACTGGTGTCTCGAGGGGCTGAGCTGAGCAGGCGAACAGGAGGATGAGAGGCGGCAGCGTTTAAACTCCTTGTCTCAGTCTTTTTTCTATAGGTGCTCTGCCAGGGAGGCCCCCAGGACCTGGGCGGAGGAGGTGGAGGCAGCAGAGGATGGAACTGTCTCCTAGCCTGCTGAGGAGTATGAAGATTCTACTAAACTAAAACTAACACTTAATCTAATGCAGCAGTTCTCAACGTGTGGCCCAATTAGCACATCGCTGCAGCCCAGCTGTGTGCAAAAAAATATAATCAAAATTTGCTGCTCTGGTCTAGCAGGGGACAGGGCTGGCTAAGGGGGAGAAAGTGTCTTGCAGTTTACACCAGTGCTCCTGCCAGCAGGGGGCTGGTGAGCGCCACAGTGGGGCAGGACAGTGGGTCTGTGGGTAGGGTTGGGGGGTGGGGCTCTGAGAACTAGGAGTTTTCCCCAGGTTTTAAGTGGTGCTCCGCTCTTGGCCCGTCTTCTCGGGTCCTAGCTGCCAGCCCGGTGTTGGGGGACGGGGCCTGGCTGCTGCCCGGCAAGATTTGGGGTACAACAGCCCGGTCGCCTGTGGCAAGCTTTAGGGTATAACTGCCCAGCCCCACGCCTAGGGCTACACTCTTGGCCCCAATCTGGGCAGGGGTGCTGGGCATAGGGGACTGTGGGTGGTTTTAGGGTGGGGGGTGCTGTGGTTCTCAGCCTGCAGCCCACAGCCCACAATGATAAACAGGTTGAGAACCACTGCTCTAATGGCTAATTAAGTACGTAAGAACTATAGAAAGGAGGTAACAATGGGCTGTTAAGAATCGCTAACGCTCTTGCAATACAAGACAAGGCACTCTGACCAACCATCACAGGCGGTAAGAAGGAAGCGAAAGGGCATAGGGCTGGCAGTGCTTAATATACCGATAAGGCAAAAATCTCCGACAGCTGTGCATGTGGGCGCACACACACCTAGAATGGAATCGATATGAGCAAGCACTCGAAGAAGAACATGGATTATGACTAATACTAACCAAACAAACATGGATGGCATACAGAAATATAAAATCTGTCCTCTCCCTCCCCGGAATGGCATTTTACCTGCCAAGCCAAAATTTGGTGCAGAGCCCTTATATACGTACATTTTGTTGCATTTTGCAGATAGCCCATACAGGTCAGTCATTTGAGCATGTGAGAAATTTTCATCTGGCCTTCTTTTCATGTGTACACCCTTTGGTGTATGCAAAACCCACACGCTCACGTATTTGTCAATAAGCAACTGTGCACATATATTTTGTAACTAGTCGATCAATTACTCAGTGCGTACAAAAATGCTGGTTTTGCATATTCAAATTCCGCACATGTATAAAACAGATTATCTCTTGAATCTTTATTCCTTAATTCTTTGTAACTATATGCAAAGTGTGCCGCATTTTAACGGCTTTTGGAAACCAAGGGATTAGGTTCTGATTCAAAACCCACTGAAGTCAACAGAAAGATTCTCATTGACTCCAAGGGTACGTTTACACTACGGGTAGCGATCGATCTATCGGAGATCGATTTATCGCGTGTAGTGTAGACGCGATAAATCGATCCCTGATCGCTCTCCCGTCGACTGCTGAACTCCAGCTCAGCGAGAGGCAGAAGCAAAGTCGACGGGGGAGCGGTGGCCGTCGATCCCGTGCCACGAGGACGCGAAGTAAGTGATTCTAAGTCGATCTAAGATATGAGAATAGAGTAGCTGAAGTCGATGTAGCTGAAATTGCGTATCTTAGACCAATTCCACCTCCCACCCCCACCCCGGGTAGACCAGGCCCAAAAGGCTTTTAATCAGGCCCTGTACATCTAATGGAAAAATAGCCATCTAATATCCTGAGTAATAGCATTGTCATTCTTTAATTGTCCAGTAAGGGTGCCACTGCTGAAACAATAGTGCAACTGAGACCATCTCTTAAATGGGACCTTAAAGAATTTTAAAGGGCCAAAGTGGATGGATTTAAAGTCCCAAATAGTAACAAAATGCATACTGACAAAAAGATTACAAATGCATTTACCTTTTAAAACAAAATATTTCACTCACTGTTTTGCCTTCTCTTTCTCCTGCTAGGACATGAGCTCAGGATTCAAGAATAATAGTCACAGGTTCACTGTACTAGTGGATATAATAAATTATCAAATCAGTCTATACAAATAATTGAAAGAGGGAATTCAAATACAGTACCTTGATTTAAAAAGCAAATGCATTGGCACAGATTTAAGTCTGCACTCTATTACTGCAGTATTATATGTGTGTTCTTACATAGTCTAGCATCTTTCATGTAATAATAATGTGGGTTTTTAAACAGTATTTTACATTTTTTAGTTATGATTATAAACTAAAGTTTTGCTTTTCTTCTCTGATGTATTAATGGTAAAATCTTGGGATTCAGAGTCATCTGTTGAAGTTCAGTAGAAGACGCTTAGTTTAAGGCAACCATCGTAATGCATTTAATTTCATTACACGTATCCCTTTAATAACACACCTTTGTAATATGCTACTTCTTTTGCTCCTCCAAACAGCCTATAAGATCAAGTCCCTGCAATGCTTATGATCTAAGTATTTGATAATATACTATCTTTTTAAAAGTCTGCTACAATTAAATCTAACTAAACCAAGCTGAAATCTAGATTGTTCACAGAACATTTCTGTTTTAGATAGCTGAAAAGGCACATCATTTACAAACACGAGACTGAACTGAGAATTGCTGTGTGTTCCTAATTACAGACTCTTTCATATAGAGCTGCCTGAGCTGCCCAGTGTCCTAGTAGCTCTCTGGACAATTAGCAAAAGCTGCATTAGCAGGAACTCGGCAGTCTCTGTCTCACTTTTCTCTAGAGAGCAGGGGAATGATGAGTTCCATCACCTGGCCAGCAGCAGCCACAAAGTCACCTCAGGGACTTGGACAAAGAGATTTATCTGCAGCTTTGGCAGCCCTTAAAGCGTGCCTTACTAACAGACCGTCACACTATCATACACTAGCACAAAGTCCTTTTATTAAGGACTGTTGTCTAAGTGACCTGTCACAAGGCTTCATAAAGCAGCATTAATACTGTGGGCCAAAATGCGATTGATCTTTGAGCTTCGTGGTCTCCTGTTGTCAACAGTGCATTATGAAACCAATACTAAATACTTTATAAACAGAACTCCCGACAGTGTATTAGAAGAACAGTGCATATTTCATGCCCTATAGTTAGGTAGCCACATATCCATCAGACAATTAAATAATTTATTAGCTATTCAGAAGTGCAAAAAGAGTCAATAAACTTTTGAATACTTATAAGCTTACTATTTTATTTGAAAACATACCTGAAGCAAGGGACTAGTTGACCTGCTGAGGTCCGGAAAAACTGAATTTTGATTTTGGATCTTTTCACCTGCCATATCACCCTGATGTTCAGACAAGTCTCTGTGCTCCCCACCTAGTTCAAAAGGCTCTCCCTTGTTTTCAAAATCAGCCACAAATTTGCTGTAACCTTGCTTCCATTATTTTCCGCTATTCCCACTTCCTATACCCGGCATCAGCTTCTTTCCTCTCCCCCTTTGCACAATCTAGCCATTGTGCCTGCAAGACCCTTCTCCTCCGCAGCATCTGTCACCTGGAGCCATCCTTCTGTATTTCCCTTATTGACTCTCCAGCTATTTTCACCCAAAATGTATATATTTATTTTTAAAAAGGACCATAAGTGACTTAAGTGTGAAATGAAAAAAAGTGTCTTTAATATTAGCAATTAACTCTACCACTGGAAAAAAATTGGTTGATCTTATTTTCAAAAGGTGCTGAACACCTACAATTCTCATTCAAGACAATGGGATCTGTGAGAGCTCAGCCACACTGAAGAAAAAAAAATCAGGCATTGTACATTTGTTTCCCATCTTGCACCGAGTCTTCTATTGTGCTACCATAATTATACATTAAGAGACAGCAAGAGCATGTAAATGCTTATAGCACATTCTAATTGGCCCTATGTAATTTGCACATTCCCAGTGCTAATGGTACAAGAGCCATTAATAGGTTTAGAGTCTTAAAACATTAATTATTATTGGGCAAATCTAGCCTATTATTTTCTGATTAATCTTCAAGATACAGTTTGTTTTAAGAGAGATCCAAACAATTTGCTATATGAGAATCTCGAATTCATTATAACCTGCATTTCAAATGTTCTATGCCCTGTCCAAGATTATCAGAGGATTTATTCTAACTCAAACTTCTTTAACCTGGGAGTAGTTCCCAAACCTCAGCAGGCGTGGACCTATGTATAGTCTTGTGGGTGCCATGGTTTCACATACTGGCCACATTAATACAGGATAGCAAGCATCTGTAACCCACAGCTGTGAGTGCTCCAGCCCGAAAGCACCCACAAAGTTTTTGCCAATGCAAACCACTCTTCCCAACCCACATCTGAACCACACTGGTTTTCTTTAGGAGCCTGGGCTGATATATAGCCCTGAAACTGAAGCTTTTGGGTTTTCTCCATTCACACAATTAAAGAGGGTTAGGGAGTGCTGGGGAGAAGAGGGGAAGTTGGGTCTAGATGAAAAACACACTGAGCAAGATCTTCACCCTTACTCTGGCCCCTGTATGCCCACAACTTGCTAACCCTCCTATTTCCACCTTTCCTCTGCACTGGCACCAGTTGGAAGCTGTGAGGAACTGAACATTTCCACATTACCACCTGACATAAAATTGCTTTTCTCACTCCCTTTTAGCCTAAAAACTGTGCTTCCAGGCTGCTGTGAGGAAGGTGAAGACCCCCTACAGACACCTTGCGAATTTGACACAGACAAAAATTTTAAAAAATCGTTCCTTCCTGATCCCAAAACAGATCCACAGCATCCTGGAAACACAGCTGAGCTCAACTGGGGGAAAGGAGGGGACAACCATAGTGTCAAGAAGGCCATTGGATGTCTGGGAAAGCTTTAAATATAAAGGAGAGACCTGGAAGTCAATCTGCTCGCTCTCGCCTTCCTCACAGCTAGGCAAGGGGTGGCAGAGAAAGTTCTCCCCCGAGGAACATTCCCTCACGCACTGAGGCACGAGAAAGGCACAGGGAGGGGAAAGGCTTCCAGTGGCTTTGTATGAGTGCTCCTCTACCCAGCTATTCAGAATGCAAGTGGTTGGCTCTCCCCCTGCAAATCCAACCAAATCCCCCATCCCCATATTGAGACAGGGGCAGCGGCCATGTGAGCGCTACCTATTTCAAATAGCACTTTTGGTTTAATCGGTTGATTACTAGCTATTGGTAGAGAATTAATACACAGGCAAGAATCATGCTACAGGTTACTACCAATGTGACTATTTCTTCCCATTTCCCACTCTTTGCATTAACTCCTTGGACACCAGTAAAATCCGCAGCATGAGAATAATCAATCATGAGAACAAACTAGATCCATTCAGTGAAACTGATGGATTGCCATGAATGGGCGATAAAAAAAAGGAACAGAGAGATCAGTAGCTTCTGCCCTTGCTCCCCAACATTGTTCACCAAAAAGCCTAAAATTGCTAATCTGCTGCTGAACAAGTATCTCCTAAAAGGCAATACTATGTTCTCTCTCTGCCACTTCACCACTCAGACAATTTTAGTGAGTTTTACGTTTAGCTCAGCAAATCAAATCTTGTATGACATGAAAGCAAATAACATTCCAGTATTTTATTAGTCTAAATTAAAGGAAAGCCTGGCGAGCATTTGTCAGGATTTGAAACCTATTGCAGGTATCACACGCTGTCACTCTAAGACTGTTCTTAGCAATCAAAGACGTAGCATCTTACCAGCGATCTACCGGGGCAGCGATCTGCTTTTTAAAGAAATACAAGGAATAGCAAGACTTGCCTTCCTTCTTTTCACTTGAAGATTCCTTAGAGAAATGTAGTAGGAACTTTATAAGCACTCCACTGAATGAGTAAAGATGTAGAACCTTTCACAAAGACATCTTTACTGAACGATTGGTCAGGCATTTGAGTTAAATACCGTAAGCATTAACCTAAACTAACAGAATAGTCAATCTCAACAAAATAAGGGCACAAATAGATTTTTTTTCCTTTGCAGGTCACCTTTAAAAGACTGGGGAATGTAGGTTTCAATGTAAATGACTGTTAGACTACATTAACCTAGTATACTTAACCTAACATGAAGGCTAGCCTTATAAAAAGCAGCTAAGAAGAAAGGAACACCTAACTTCCAATCTTCTGGACAACGCTCAAAAGAAAACTCCAGTCATTTACTGTCCAATGTGGAATAGCCTTTAAGAAAATACACACACACTTTAAAATCATTATTATTTAAGGAATGCCTTTTGAACTTTCAACTTTTCCATAGCTGTGTCTCGGAAGTCATCCCACGGAGGCTATATTCCGCATCCCTCCCCCATAGAGGAAAACACAATAGGACGAATCACTGGATTGAAATTAATAAGCAAACCACAAGAATTGATTAGCATTACATTTCAATATAATTTTGTAAAACTTTTTCAGGTGATCACAATTTTAATTTGACTTCACTTTTATTTATTTTATTAGCAGATCAAGTCCAGCAATTTCAGAAGGACAGCATCCCTGCTCCTTGCTCAGCAATGTTGCACCTCTGATCTCCCTTCCTCTGTTCTATTATTAGCTTTGCATACACTTTTGTTTTGTTTTGTTTTAACCACAGAAAATTCAGGTTCGCAAAACTTAATGATGATGACTTTTCAGTTTCCTAAGGAGTTCACTGCACTTTGCTTTATATTTAAGGCTTAATTCTGATCTTATATAAGCAAGAATACTTATCTGGTAATTTCAGCTCCTGAACTTGTGTATACATGCACAGCAGCTGATTTTCACAAGATCTGAAGCAACTGCTTCAGATCTGAGATCAGAACCAAATCCATAGCATCTTGTATTACTAAGTTTTTGTCTATATAATTACGCTTACAATTAAGTGTATATTCTGATACTTGTTCTTGTGTCAAGTGCATCTAAGAAACTGAAGAAGTATTTTCTGTTTTTGTTTAACAAGAAGATTTTATTGGCCATTTATAAGGGAACTGAAAAATATGTTCATTGTTACTACCAATAGTCACAGCATTTGTAATTTACATTAAAAGTAATGCCTAGAGGTCCTAACTAAGCTCAGGCC